ATATATATATAGGTGTGTGTGTGTGTGTGTGTGATGCTGCTAACAGGGCCAGCACATATCATCGCTTATCGGAGATGGAGAAGATGTTTCCTCGGGGGTCAGTGAGCAGCCGTCACTTCACATAAAGGCAGCCAGGAGGGAGGAAGTAGAAGGAAGAAGCAAGGGATGGATGAGAGACATCACAGAGGACAGAAGAGAAAGGGGTGTGTGGTGGCGGTAGGAGGAGAGGGACAGAGAGAGTACTTCTTCCAGTCAACATCCTGCCAAAATATTGCAAACTGGAGTTGGGAGATAGAGGTGAAGTGAAGGGATAATAGATAGAGTGGCAAAAAAGAAGGGGCTTTGAAAAAAGAGTAGGAAGTGGAATAGTGAAGAAAGGAAAAAGAGAGTAACAATATATTTGCCAGAGGGATCCAGGGAGAAGAATGAGGGCAAAATAGTGTTGGTTTGTTACATAAAGCTGGGATCAGACACAGGTCAGCACATCAGACCAAACACAATAGATAGGAGGCGAGCAGTTCAGGAGGAAAGACTAAATAATAGAAATAAAACAAGACAACAGGACAACGAATGCTACCCCATCACAGGTTATCTAGGAGTCTTTGCTAAAAACAAACTCACATACTGCCTCCCTCTCAAGGAAATACTCTTTTCCAAAATGCCATAAAACTTAGCTGAGAAAAAAAGGAGTTGATCGAAGCCTGTTTATTGACGCCAGTACTTCCCCTTAGCTGTCAGTAAATACTTACCCCCCTCCAACGGAGCGGGTGTTTCTGTATTTATGGGTTTTAATAGGAAGAGCGTGATCATCATATTGACCGGTCTGCTCGGATCCTAATGGCTGCCTTAAATCTCAGGGAAACACACTGTATTCTGGGGTGAGTTACAGGCAAATTAACATGGAGAGGGAGGCCGGCAGGGCTGCTCCTGCCGGAAGGGAGGAAAACAATCGCTTGAATGATTGTCGGACATTTAGGATGAGTGGGGAGGGGGGTGGCAATGAGAGGGGAGAAGAGGCAATAAATGACTTTCATCAGTAGCAGAGAGAGAATGAGATGGGTTGGAGAGGGTAGGCGGAATCCAATGTGTTCGCCTTCCATTATAAGAATCATAAAATACTTTTAATGACCAAATATTGGGCTCTTTGAAACAAGATATTGGCTCATATTACAAGCATTATGGTGTCACACTTTGGCTCACACACTTTGGTGCAGACAAATTGTGCTGTGTGTGTGTGTGTGTGTGTGTGTGCGCGTGCATGTCTACAGTAAATATGACTGGGTGGCTGTCAGTTGATTTACTGTATATCCATCACTACTAAAGGTGTGCTTAATAAAAAGGTACTGCGATAGCGACATAGAGGAAGAAAAGAGCAGCACCCTCAAAAGTAGCAGAAACAGAATTTAATCAGTTTTCTCATCTCTTCTGTATTGCATATATGGTGACTGTTTTAGCTCACTTAAAAGGTCCTGTAGGTAAGATTAAGTGGCATCTAGTGGGGTATTACAATACCCTCACCTCACCCTCCGGGTTCGCCTTGTGCGGCTTGTCCACTAACTGCAGGATTGGCCTCTCCTGTCCAAATGTCAAATTGACCTTGAGCACCCAAATTCTAATGGGTACGAAATTTGCTAATGACAATAAAACTGTAAAATGTTATATAAATGCAGTACAGTTACTACTCAAACATATTTTCATGGTCAGGATTCTTTTTATATTCATCATTTGGTCTAAATAGTGAAAAATATACATCACTATTTCCTAGAGCCCAAGGCCATCTCTTCAGATTACTTATTTTGTCCAACCACGAGTCCAAAACCAGAGGCTATTTAATTACGAATCACATAAAACAGATAAAAGCAGCAAATGCTGACATGAGAGTAAATGTTTTAATAATATACATTTTTCATATTTTAATATTTAATATATATTTTTTAGAAAACAATGCAGCTCCATGGCACAGGTAAATAAGGTGGATCAGGCTATGGATACACAGAAAATACATTTTTGTAGTAGGATAAATTCATTGTTGGTTTCGGTCTCGGTGGAATTTGGTGAAAGTACGATAAATATCATCACCAGGCTTATCCTTTCAAAAAGGTTCTGCACAATCATTGTCCACCCACACAACTGTTTTCACTTATTTTGCCTGATTAGACCTTTTTTCAGGATTGTGTGGGTGCAGACTGTGTTTGACTGACATCTCCTTTAAATTTTGTTGTATCTGTGACAACACCAGACATTTAGTAGTTGATACCAATACCAGTGAAATACCACAATTCTCAATACCCAATTCAATACCACGGTAAAAAACAAAACAATAAATCCCATCTACATTAACATACAAAAAACATTTTAACACATTATGGAAGGAAAAGCACAAGTGTAACTGAGGGCTGTGAGACGAAGATAGTCATAAAATTTCACTGCAGCTCTTACTTAGGATTATTTTACAATAGGATGTGTATATATATATATAGCCCTGTAAACAGCTGAAAAGGAATAGTATTTTTTGGAATAAGTGCAAAAACAGTAATATTTTGTGCACATAAATGGAATGGGTGTGTACTATATTACTACATAGCAATAATGTCAATAAATTACATCGGCATCCAAATGGCAGATCAGCATAAACATGGAGCAATAAATACAAATACAAATTTGGTAGGCAAATCAGAAGATGTCATCCAGAGATTTAACTTTGCCAGACTGAACTTATCCCAAGCTAGTCAGTCCCAGAAGGCAAACTTGAAATAAAAAGTTAACCTTTACTGAGCAATGACGGGCAGAAATTTGGTCAATGTGACTAAATGCAAATTAGAGGCAAACAATATAAATGGCAAAGCAAGGCTGCACTCATCATCTGATAGCCGATGGAATCAAGTTATAAGCTACAAGTCTTCTCCCCGCTGGGTAAAATGACCGCCACTATCAGCTGACAGTGAATGTCATTGCTGGTGAACAGAGGAAATTGTGCCTTGAAGTTTTGAGTAATTGAATTTGTAAAAGTCATCGTATTACCCTATAATACGATATGCAGATTTAGAGGGGTTTGCAATTTACAAAAGGGTCGAACCACTATGAAATTGCCACCATCCCCCCACTTACCGCACACACACTGTGTCATTAATGCAGTTTCCTATTTCACATGGCTGCTGGCAGCGCTGTTCCTGCCTCAGAGGAAGTTGAGATGTGCGACTATAAACCTCAGATGATATTTTGTTACAAAGACACTGTGGAAACGCTCCTCACACTTTGGCTGATTACTCCAACGTCTCCATGACATGACCTGTCAGGATTTAAATATCCTTCTCGCAGTAAGAGGGAGGCTGGTGAGGCATCCTCATCCACAGAGTAATGGATATGGTGAAGGACATAAAACTGTGCTACACACACTATGTGAAGAATACTGTCAAGACCCTCTGAGGCACAACTGACAAACTGCAGAGCTTTTACATGTATACAGTGTACGTAAATATAACAGGAGGGCAAACAGAAAAGCAGGGGGAAAATAACTGTAGGAAAAAATCTTTGCTGATATTTCAGGGTTTGTGCGAAATCTACGCAAGTGAATAGCACAATAATAATTGCCCCTTGAGCAGCCTAAAGTTCTATGATTTTTCTTCCAAAATTTTAAGCAGCAAGTTAAAAATAAATCATGAAGCCACTTTTTTTTTTTACTTGTTTGTTGGGAGGTGCTTATTAATAGTGCAAGGCAAGTGACTAACAGGAAGACACATATGAGACATGATGAGGCAAGAGAGAAACAACACCCTTACTACACAAGCCAGTAAGTGTATGTGTGTGTATGGGAGTTGTGTTTTATTATTTATTCATAAATACTTTTTTGAATAAGAACTAATGCAGACAGTGCAAATAAGACAGACAAGAGAAAAGGACAGATTATTAGTCAAATTAAACACGTCTAACCTTTTTGGCTGTCAATGACAAAGTTGCCCTCCTCGTTGCCTGTGGTAATCTTATATGTGATCCCATCCCCATCGGGGTCCTTCGCTAGCACCGTGGCAACAAGCGTGTTGGGGCCGGCGTCCTCTGAGACAAACGTCCGATATCTGATAAAACACATACAAACACACAATAAACATCTAACTTAAGCTTTTCTGCAGGAGGACAAATGTCCTGGCACACTGCAGTGAAGGTGAACAGCAGACAAATTCCACAAAGTTTTGTCTTTGATTCAAATCAATTCCATCTAATTCGACACAAGTAGGAGAACAAAGATGCTCATATGGAAACATGCTGCACTATCCACATGAAAATATTGATTGATAAGAATCATAAGTGTGTAATTAAATCAGTTTACAGACCAAACAAATGTACCAGTACTAAGGATGTCCTGATCCAATATCAACGATCGGTATCAGCGTCGATCAAGGCAATTTTTAACTGATTGGAATTGAGCTTTATTGATTGGATCCAATCTTTTTTTTTTTTTCCTCAGTTGTCATACAACTATTTTACTCACAAAGCATTCATGCACAGTGCTGCATTTTCAGCTCTCTCACCGTCTCTTTTCCTCCACTCTGCTCAACTCTGTGTGTGAGCGAGAGCACAGGCAGCCCACCCATGGGGAAACTTTGCAGCGGGCAGGGCTGCCTGTGCTCAGAGGAGAGAGTGGTAGGGATCTGAGACAACCACACTCAACACGCCCCTGCAAGTGCAACAAAAGCCCAGCGAACAAAAAGCCAATGAGAGTAATTAACTAACAATCCTAAAAAAGCGAAACACTTGATCGGGACATCCCAAACCAGTACATTTCCTTCATTAAACATTATGACCTCATTAAGGTAATTTCTTATTCAGTGGATCTTTAAATTTCAAATGTAGCTAGGGCAAACAAACATGAACATACTTATACACAATAACATAATGTTGAAAGAAAAAATATGAGGATAAGAAACAAAGTTAAATGCAAAAACTAGGGGAGCTCGATAGCTCACCTGGTAGAGCATGCACCAGATGTACAAAGGCTGAGTCCCAACTGCAGCGGCCCGGGTTAGAGTTTCACCCGGGTTCAGGTTTTGTGCTTTGTGCTGTAGAGACTAACTGAGAATGACTTGTCAATCACAATGTAGCCGCGCCATAAAGCTTACCCTGCTTTATGGTCTATTTTAGTGTAAATGGGGCCATCATTTACTAAATTAACATCATGCTGTATGGAAGAAGACTAGACACTAGAGATTGAGACCATAAACTCATCAGGAAACTGTTTACTGAGCTAAAACATCAAGTCAGAAGTCGGGTCATTTCTCCCTAAGTACTACTATTGGACTCCTTTTTTGAAATAGTGCAAGTTTGAGTACTTCCGCACTGGCTTAACTTAAGAATCCCGGAAGCACTGTCCACCAATTATATACTGTCATTGGTAGAAACATAGCAGTGCAACATGGCAGATTCAAATTCAAATTTTTAAGAGATAATACAGTAATGAAAACATACCTCTGAATATTATATTCCATTGCTGCCAATAGATCCTCCTGAATGTTACACACTGGACCTTTAAATCAGTCCCTGAACAGTTGCAAATATAAAAACCAACAGAAATCCTGTAGGGCAAAATTCAAAATAACCTCAAAATTTCACCTTTAGATACATTTCTGGTAACCACCATACCTCATATGAACATACAGTGAAGACATGCAGAGGGGTTTTCACACCACCCATCCTCGATCACACCTGCCATCATAGAATACTGTGAGATTGTCACAGTAAAAAGAAAAAGACAGGAGTACTTCTTAACGCAGCAATTTCTTGCTTTTGTTGTCCACTGGTCTGCATCAAAATGGCTGGACCCTAATCAAAATTTTAAGGATGCAATCTTAAAGTTGCAGGTTTATCAATGGGAGAGGGGAGAGAGGGCATCATTTTTTTTAATACATACTTTTGGGGCATTTTACTTGATAGGAAAGGGGGTAGAGAGTAGGGTTAGATGATGTTACAATGTTCCAACAGGCCACTGTCAGTCCAACAATTATAAGCGCCCCCTGACCTAATCACCGCCATTGTAGTTTCAGCTAGGACATGAGTGGCGAGTGAGCTACGTGCAATAAGCTCTAATAGCGTTAAGAGAATAACCTCACCAAATGTCAAGACAGGAAAAGAAAAACATCCATTTTCCTCACTCAACAGAAAAATGCAACCGTACACCTTCCAAATTCAAGTTTCTCTCATATACCGAACTAAGACCTTTTTGAGCATTCTTCAAACACACTTATAAAATTTACAAAATAAAAGTCACCAAAATCTCTTTATAAGTCTTCCCACAATTACCATCACTGGGGTCTAACCGTCTAACAGAGTTACATGTAAAAATATTCTGTCTCTACACGCTGTCCCTGCCTCTCTGATGCCCCCGACCTCTCTCACCCCTCTAGCCACTTCGTGTCCCCCCTCTCCTGGCCTGTCCCGGGATGTGCCTGCTGTGCTCTAATCTTCCCCTGAGTTGGAGTCTTGCAGCCTTGTTTGCAGAATACTTTTTCTGTGAATCACCTTGTAACTGTATTCCCTGTTGTCAAACTAATTGAAATAAACACTTAATTCACCTCAGTTAGATGTGAAAATACTCTGGCTCTACAGCTGTTTTTCCTCTCACTTCTTCTTTGGCTCAGTGTGTGTACTGCGCAGCTATAGAGCCAGAGTATTTTCACATCTAACTGAGGCGAAATAAAAGTTTATTTCTGAAAATAAAATGACAAAAATCCACCAAAAAAGGCCAATCCCACATAGCGGATATATCCTTCCAATCGCTAAACCCTACTAAAAGAGGGGATGACACGCTGCAAAGGGCCACAGGTCGGATTCAAATACATGGCCGCTGCAGAAAGGACTCAGCCTTGGTACATGGTGCGCCCACTCTACCAGGTCAGTTATAGGGCGCCCCCGAGAGAGAGAACATGATTGACAGCAGCTTAGATAGCAATGCTTTTACAATTCTGTTTAAAGCTTTTTATGTGTGAGCGTGTGACATATACATATATATGTGTGTATGTGTTGCCTCTGCTGTCCTGTGTCCTATTCCAGGTACCGCCCTCCCCTCCAACTGGTCAGTCACACCTGCAGTAACTTAGCAATCAGGAGGATTGCTTTAAAGCTGCTGCGATGGAAGCAGACGGGGCCCAGTGGGCCAAAAACCACCAGATAGAGTCGTGTCACTGTCGGGTGTGAATCAGAGCTGTGTGGTGCTCGTCTTGTGTGTTACCGTTACTCCCTCAGTGGAGGGATAGTTAAATGTGTTTTCACTTCCTTTCTTTTTAGAAAGTTGTTTTGAGTTTACGTTTTGACCTCATTCACGTTGGAATAAATCGTTTAAAAGTACAAATATTTATTTTTCCTTCCCTTCTTTAAACGCCCGGGTAATTATTAATTGTTACTCCTCTTTTCCCCTGGACCCCACAACTGAGGACTTAACAATTCTGACGACAGTTTTCACAGATGAGATGCATTTACATTTTTTGAGAAGAGAATTTAAGAGTTTACA